TGCTTGCAAACCTTCCACCACAACGATCCCGCCCCCTTGATAATCGACCAATCACAAGTCGGGCACCGATCGGGAGAATTCGGGAGAAACGGTTGGAACAGCCGCTTCTCTACGACTTTAACCTAACAGTCATGTTTTTGGCCGGTGGCAGGAAGCTGGAGTACCCAGAGAGAACCCAGGCATGCTCAGGGAGAACATCTGAACTCCATGCTGAAATATCCCAGGCAGGGAATTGAACCCAGAAACTTCTGCTGCAAGGCAGCAGTGCCAGCCGCTGCGTCACTGAGCCGCCGGAGCGCGGCCAGAACCAGCCCAGAATATTCCAGAATCCTTCCATCCCAGTTTAATGGGGCTGTTTGTGTCAGACGCTGCAGATGAAGGATGGTGGATTCTTACTTCATCTGAGCGTGTGATAACAGGTCGAGGGTGTGTTTACATTCTGGCTTCCCTCGAAACTTTCCACAAACTCAGACGGAGAAGCAGGAGAGCTCCTGTTCCTGCAAGCAGGACTTCTGGAGAAGTCGTACCAGCCGTCTTCTGGAGGGTAGCGGTGGAAAAAAAAAAAAGCTTTATGAGATATCGTGTTAAAGACGTTTCCAGCAGATGATAACATGCAATAAATCCAGGCTTTATTTTCACATGTTGAGATTAAACCGCAGCTGCAGTAAAACTTTCCGTGTTTCGGATCCAAACAGCAGAAGAGCAAAGACGAAATGTTTGTCTGAAGGTTTATAGATTATAAGAACAGATCAGAAACTGGGTTTACTATCAGGTCCTGGTTCTGGTTCTGGAGCGGCCTGGAAACTCTGAAAGGAGCAGGTGTTTTCTGAGCTGCAACCCGATGATGGAGCTCCTCTGCTCAGCTGTTCGTCCCGTCATCCTTTTCTGATGGATCCACAGACAGACGCTACAGCTGCCATTTCATATTCAATAAAATGTAGATCTACACCGCAAAGAATAGCAAGTTATTTTTTCTTTAGCTCTTAACACACTGCAAAAAAGATCTAGAAATAAGTAAAATATTTCTTAAATTAAGTGTATGAGTGTAATGAAATTAGTATCCTTACTCTTAAAATAAGAAAATTAGA